CACATCTGAAAGTTTATCATCATTGACCAAGTACAGGACCTGTCAGGAACTCATCGGGCGAGCCCCAAAACCTAACTGATGAGCAACACTGCTGTGACCTAATTAAGAGTTAATTAAAGTAGAGCAACTTCAAGAGGCTGAGGAAGGACTGGAAGCAGGCTCTTGCACTTTTGAGGTCAGCAGCCGATAGAGCAATTCTGAGCTTTTTACTGGCCCACTTCACAGTTAATGCCGTCTGCCTGTCCTCCATACTCCAGCTGGGGCCTGCACACCACCCGCTCTCCCGAACCCAAGCTCTGACCATGGCTTAGGAAGTCTGGCATGTGCCGTCTGCCGGGGAAGGGGGAGCTGGCTCCCACAGGGCCCTGGGCTTATCTCCCCCTTCCCTATACTCACCTGCTATCTATGCCCCTTACAGAAGACGCCCGGCCTACCCACCACACTACAGTGGGTTTCTTGTGCTTTGCTTTACTTAGTTCTAACAGTTAAAGTGGAACAACTTCAGGTCAGAGCAACCCCACAAGCCTATCCTTTGATTCAGCAATTAAAGGTTTCTCTTGGGAGATGACAAATCCCTTTCTAAATGCTTTCAAGCAGATGAGCTAAGTGAACCAGCATCTCCCATATCCCAGCAGAGGCGTAGTGAAGAGGGTGTGTGGGGGGGTGCCGGGCCGGGGTGAGAGTGAGCGCACGCTGCGCAGGCTCACCTGGCATGGGCAGCGAGTTATATGGCCGTCTCTGCCGTGCATAGCGTTCAGTAAGCTCCCCCTTGCCCGCGCACACAACACAGCAGGGCCGGTCCGGGGCCAGGAGGGACGGCCATATAACTTGCCGCCCATGCCAGTGTTCAGTCAGCTCCCCCTTGCCTGCACACACTGCGCAGCGTTTCCAGGTGACCGGGGAGACGCCCGGGCATGACATGACGTCACGGCCCGGGACTTTATAAGTGTGCGGTGCCATGTGGTGTCAGCCTAGCTTCCGGTTTGGAGTCCGGGCACTTTTGGGGCCCGAGCACAGACTCTGGCCCTGCAAGTGGAAGGCAGAAGGTATGGCAGGGCAGGGGGAAAACTAGGGGAAAGGGGTGTGAGAGGAAGGGGCTTGTGTGGAGGGGGAAGGGGAGAGGAGGAGCTTGTATGGAGCGGGAGGGGAGAGGGAAGATACAAATGCCAGGGGGCCGACTGCAGACAATGAGGAAAAGGGTAGGAGGGGAGGTGTCAGCGGGAGGGGGGACAGGGTGATGCTGGGAGGGGAGAGGAGAGGGGAAGGGCATTAGGGTCTGGGGGAGGTGCTGGGAGAAGGCTTGAAAGGAAGGGTGGGCATGAGAAAGGTGGGGATGGAGCAAGTCATGTGTGAGGGCACAGGGGAATGAGGGGAACGGGGACAGAGAGTGGTGAGGGGGTGGGCACCAGGGGAAAAAGAGGGCAAAGGGGGCAGGGGCGGGAAGGGGGAGGCACCAGGAGGGTGCAGGGCTAAGGGAAGGTGCAGGTGCCAGAAGATTCTGGGGGTGAAGCAGAAGGTCAGACCCCTGCAGGGGAGGGACCAGCACCAGAGGAGAGAGGCAGGGCAGGGGTGTAGAGGAAGGTGTTAGAAGAGGGGCTGAGGAGGGGTAGCTCACATGATCAGAGTGGGGCTACTAGAGGAATGGGCACAAGAGGGAGAGAAGGGCTGGTGGAGGGGGTCAGGTCACAGGAGGGCTGAGGGCAGTGAGAAGGGCAGGAATCAGGACAGCAGAGGAGGATGAGGAGTTGGGGGGCACCAGGGGGAGCTGATGGAGCAAGGAGAGGAGACATGGCAGCAGAGAGAAAAGGTAGAGGTTTAAAAATATTTATTAATAACTTGGGATGCTGCCCACGGCCAGTTTGTTTGCGCTCTGCGGTGCAGTTTGGGTTTATGTGGGGATCAACACGTGGCTGGCGAGTGGGAGCCAAAACAAAAGTAGTCAGTGTAATGATCTTCTGTTGAGATGCGTTTTAGTAGTTAAATTCTTGGACTGACATTGCTCATGAAAAGTGCTGTCACATGGGTAGAAATGGGGTAACTATTGCATTTTATTAATATCAGCAGAGCTGACTTAAATGGGGCCTGTGTGTTGTGTAGTCTTGCCTTAATCTTTGTATTCATGCCTGTCAGTGTGAGAGAAGCTATTTGTATGTATTTGCTTGCATATGCAACCACACTTAAGTTGAGGCCCTCCGCATATTCTGGAAGTATCAGTGTGGCCCCCCGGGCTTCCAAAGTTGAGTTGCCCTAGCTCATCCCTGACAGGTGTCTGTCTAACCTGGTCTTAAATATCTCCAGTGATGGAGATTCCACAATCTCACTAGGCAATTTATTCCAGTGTTTAACCACCCTGACAAGCAGGAAGTTTTTCCCAATGTCCAGCCTAAACCTCCCTTGCTGCAATTTAAGCCCATTGCTTCTCATCCTAACCTCAGAGGCCAAGTAGAACAATTTTTCTTCCTCTTCCTTATGATACCCTTTTAGATACCTGAAAGTTGCTCTCATGTCCCTTTTCAGTCTTCTCTTTTCCAAGGTAAACAAGCCCAATTCCTTCAGCCTTGCCTCATAGCTCATGTTCTCTAGACCTTTCATGATTTGTGTTCATCTTCTCTGGACTTTCTCGTTTCCTGAAATGTGAAGCCCAGAACTGGACATGATACTCCAGCTGGGGCCTAATGTAGATGGCTCATTCCCTGCCTAGGGGACGTGAGACTGGGCGGGTTAATTTCCAGTCCTCCTGTTTATTCTTTTCCTAAGCCAGGAGGGCACAGTAGTTTCGATGGCGGCTCTGCAGGAAGGCTGCCCGCACTGCCCTCTGCCTGAAACCTTGTGCAGGTGTTAAACCTTGTGCAGGTGTCCAGCCCACCCTAGAGGTGGCTGCATTTCAGCGTGCCTGAAGCAACACAGCACCAGCAATGGACAGGAGAATGGCTCCCGGGCAAGGCTTACTCATGACTGCTTCAGTCCCATTGCGCTGCCAATGCACCCAGGGGCTGGCTCCGCCCATGCGCCACGCACCTGGGGGTGGGGCCGGCCCCAATCACTTGGCAGGCGCACAGAAATGGCCTGGTGGGCACCATGGCGCCCGTGGGCACCGCGTTCGGGACCACTCCTCTAGGACAAGTGAGGCAGAGATTGTCCCTGTGGGGTGAATGAGGTGGGAATGGCTAAGGCGGAAGGTGAGCACCTCCGGCCAGTTGCAGAGGTTGGAGAGGGGATGGAAGCCAGATCCAAGATCAATGAGCCCTGGGAAGTGGGCACTCACACGCTGGGCACCTGGGGGCAGGGCCACGCATGCGCCTGGGAGTGAGGCCACCCATATGCCTTGCACCTGGCGCCGGCATGTGCCCCAGGGCCGGGGCCGCCCGAGCGCCTTGTGCCGTGGGCCCGGGGCCGGCGCCAGTGCCTCCAGTGTGCCGCACGTGGGGCTGGCCCAGGTTGACAGATCTTGCACATGCATAAGATGATAGATCTGCCGGAGGGCGGGGGGTGGCGTAGTGAGGGGGCCGGAGGGGTCAGTTGCCCCCGGGAGAAAAATAATATAAAATTTAGTTAAAAATAGATGTCACGTTTTTAAAAGGAATACTGTATCTCCTGCCTTTTGTCTATTTTTTTCTCTTTAGGCCCCCAGTTAAAATTTTCAAAAGCACTTGAGTGACTAAAGTCATTTTTGAAAATTGGACTTGGAAATCTAAGCTCAGATTTTCAAAGGTAATTAAGCTCCTAAAGAGACAGTTGCCAACTCGGATCTTCAAAGATATCTATCTGATCTTTAGTGATAGAAATG